CTAGATTATGGTGGTGGATATGCAGGCAGTTGTTTTCCAAACTTTGAGGGTTTCCATAAATAATTGTAATTAGAAATGGTTTTAATCCATCCTGAAGGATTAAATCAATTTTTCATACTTTTTAGAACTACTTGTTCTTTGCTTCTTGTAATTCATTTGTAATCCATCTTGAAGGATGAAACTTGTGTTGTGAATGAACTTGTACATTTAATTTGAATGAAATTGTGGGTTTTGTATATTGTTGTGAGTTGGAAGATCACATTCATAAAAAACAATCACATTCATTAAGAAGATCACATTCATTAAAAAAGATCACATTCATTAAAAAGATCACATTCATATAAATACAACAAGCATCCTTACAATACAAAATGATCCAACTAAAATAAATGGATCATTAAAAATACAAAATGATAAAGAAACTTGATACATATGTGAAACTTCTGCCTGCATCCCCAACTCCATGCTCCAGATCAGTGCAATACTACAGAGACAAAGTAGAGCAGTCCAATGCAGTCCAGTGCAGAGAGGAAAAAAAACTACATGCTCAGAATGCACAGACTAACTGCCTAGACTCCAAAGCATGCTCCCAGCTCCTGGCACCACCCTCTAACTCATCCCAAAAATTGCACAACAATCTGCCAGAAAAGCAAACCACCACTGAAACAGCAAGCACCTATCCACACAGAACAGCACCAGTCCACAAAACCAAATGAACCCAACATCCAAAACCATCAAAACCACACAAATCAGTTCCTCATATTGGTGGGAATAACGTTCATATTCTTGGCTGCTCAATTTAGTCTTATTGTCTTCCAACCATTTTGGATATCGTTCTCCAACTTCTTTCATAGGCTCGTGAAGAATTTCTTTAGACAAAAGCTGTTGCATCATGGTCTCCACGATAGACTCCATGTCCTGAAGAGAAAGAAAATATCAACAGCAACCAATACACATATTTCTTAATAAAGACTCTCCTTTTCAACTACAGTGTAGTTCCCTTATAATTTTTGGGACAGATGGAAACATATTTAATCTATATGCCTTTTCCGTATATTAGTTTACCATTTGATCTTTTTTCGTCGTTTAAATTTTGATGGACTGTTCGTTCGACGGGCGGGGGATCCAATCAATTTCAGGGCAGTGTCAAAACACATTGCTATGTCAATTGATGCACAAATTGTAAGCCACTTCACCTTCTTAGACAACTAACCAACACATTTTAGCATTTGACAACATTTAAGTCATTTGAAAACACAGCCTCAAGATCTTTTATGCCTGAATGCAATGATGTTCTATTAAAGCAACATGGTTTCTCCAAGTTACCACAAGCCTCTGCTTTTCCTATTGACAGAAATACATCCAAATGACAAATGGTATTGGAAACTCCACCTAATCCTTGAATTCTCGGCTCAAAAGTATAAGACAAAATCAACTTCTAACAAAAAATTCACAAACAACAATAACATAATCAAACAAGCAACTACTAAATCCAAATTATCAATCAAAACCCTAATTTTATGAATTGAAAGAAAATACCTAAGAACCAGCAAGCTCCCCAAATTGCTTCACCAAATCCTCCATCATTGGTGAAGGATTTCGATACCGTTGCCTGAAATCGCCGGAAGAGGAGAGAATGAACTAGGTCTGACGAAGGAGGGAGATGGGTCTGATTGAGGAAGAAGAAGCGGTTTCTGATTTTGATATGCCCGGTACAGAAACGGCGTCGGTTCAAAAAATCCAAGAAACCCTCCAAAATGGTGGTGTTTTATTTAACCGCATATGATGCGGTAACCTCCTTACCGCAGAGGAGTCGGACCCGACCCATCAGAGAGGTCGTGGGTTTGGATATATCTCTGGCATCCTGGCCCGGATCGTTGTATCTGAAACGGCCCACAGGAGATCCCAAAGGTACAATTTTGTGGATATGTCCAAATTTAAAACCGTTTAGGACTGACCCATCAGGGAGGTAGTGGGCTTGGATATATCTCTGGCAGCCTGGCCCGGCTCATTGTATCTGGACTGGATATCCAAAACTTCTCGGGTGGACCTACCTACCCCTTAGTCTCGTGGACCAAACCAAATTTCTCCTCATTGGATCCTCTCGCTCTTATAAACTCGAAAGCATCCGTTCAATTTCTCTCTCCTAGGTCTTTCTCTCTCGAAACCATTTCAACTAACAGAGTTCCCGATTGAATCGAACAAGATGGAGAATTCAAGCATCGTGTCATACGAGACGCTGGATGGCTTGGTGAAATGGTTGGGCACGAGCGTGGCCTCTGCATTCTTCGCTTCACTCGAACGTTTCTCGTGCGTCAACGTAACAACCTCCGACACCGACGACGAGGACGATGAAGAGGCCAAAGTTCGCCCTCTCATGCTCACCAATCTTCAAGCGCCAATCGATAGCCCCACAACTGCGAACTATCCTACCTCCGTCGATAACCTCCCTGTCTGATTCTTCGATCAGGTCCTCACAGATATGTGTTTTTTGATATATATATATCCTGCATATATGTACCGCATAACTCGATGCATCTCCTGTGATTGTCGATTTATATTGGATTGCCAATAGATGAGACAAATATAGTTGATTTACAGGTTTAAATCAACTAGGGATTTCATATTGTTTGTGTTTGTGACTTGGAGTTGAAATGAAAGTCATCGTGTTTAAGATGTTGTCAATGTTATTCTTATAAAATTGTGCAAATTATGGCACCATGGTTGATCTTGTTGTAGGTTCTGTCGAATAAAAGCCAAGATCTTGTACCTCTTTTTCTTTTGACCTTAATCAGTTTTAGAATTTATTATTCTTGAATTTATTGTTATTTGTATTATGTTTCTGTGCAATTACAAGATTGATTGAGTATACATGCAATGTTTGGATGAATGATTGTAATATTTCTCAGTAGAGAGTTCTTTGGTGAAATTGTTTGCGGTGTAATGATTGTTTTGGACTTTGTAATGGCACTCTTCAGAATATGGAGTTTGCATATGCATAATCTAGAAGGGAGCTGGTGTATGATATTAGAGAGTGCCGGTCTTCTGAAATTGTTAGGTCTTTTTTTTTCTTGTGATGGCCATTTCTGAAACGATAAAAATAATGAGGAACTTGGATGTCAAGAGCAGCCCTCATTCATTTATTTTGAGAATATTTAAGAAACCCTGTGTATTTATTTTAACACATAGATGTAGAAGCATACATCATAGTTATAATCAAATATATTAGTGTATTACCTTCCGAAAAAAATATATAGTAGTGTATTTATATGCATGTATGTGTGAGTATTCATTGGGTATTATGACAGGTTTGTTTAGGATAGTAGTATGCATTTAATTTATAACATTCCAAATTTTTTTTTTTGCATAACTATAATACAAAATATCATTCTTTGTGATTGATTTCGTGTTTTTGATCAGAGGTGTCAAAGTGGAATGAGGCAGTAGGTATGTGGATATTTGTGACGGACTTCATTGAACAATACCGACGTTAGAACTTTGAGTAAGTTTTTAAAATATATCTGATGTTGATTGACTAACCATATAATAATAGTTGGGGCCTTCTGGCCATAAACTTGTAACAGTGTCATCATGATTTACTGTTACGCATTGCTGTATCAAATGTGGACACTTAAGGTTGTCTTACTGTACACAGTGTTAGATATGTGTCAGGGATTGAACTTGTTTAAAGGTGAAATGACATTTACCATCCCCTGAGATCTCAAGGGAACAGTGAATAGAAAGTGGTGTCTGGGACTTCCATGACTTATCGTGTGCTTGATGAATGATTGATCTTTGTACTGCTAGCTTTGTACTCCTGAAAAACATAGCTGCCTTTTTCTTAGTGAACTTTCCTGAGGAGTCATAGATTTTGCTTGATATCAAGGTGTTAGTCGCCTTGAGGCTTGTTCTATCTTATATTTATTTGGGTCAGATTTTTCTTGTTCTGGTTGATCAGGTATTTTAAAGATGTATTGGAATAGCACATATGGCCAGCATTTGTTTGCTAAAACATAGGGTGGCATGTTTATAAAATACAGTCAAACCTCCTTTTATATTCATTACTACAACTAATGCAGGAAAAAACTATTATTTTGTTACGATAACTGGTTTCTGTGGGTTAAAATGGTGCATTAATTCATCACCATCTGTTTCAAATAAAGCCTACTTTTATTGATCATTGTTGTTAAACCCTTAACTTTCGTACATTTGAAAGGTTTAGTGTGGAAACCAACCTTAACTTGACGCTCTGTGGTTCTGACATTTTCCTTGAACATTATGCGATATAAGGCACAGCTTTTATTTTGGTTTCTGGTTCATATCAGAGAGTTGCTTGCTTCCGAGGATTGAACTGTGGACACCAGACCAAACAGCAGCACGGCCGGCTACCATTTGGACTGCTCTAGTTTGGCCGATCATTTTGATATAATGGACTATATTTGGCCGTCTCTCTCCCACTGCTTTGATGTTTAGGACTCGATAATGATAACGTAGCTCGTGTTCTGGGCTGGAATGCATCTGTGGCTTGCAAACTGAATGATCAGTAAAGAACCGTTACCCTGGCTTACAGGCTGCATGAGTGGGACTTTTTTAGATCATTAATGATTGATTTAACCAGGCCAATTGAAATTTATAGAGATTTGTTACCATAAATGACTGACTCCCTCCTCCCAGCCAGTTGAACTTGAGCTCATCCTATTCTCAAGAGCGTGTGGTCCTGATATTCTCTTTCATATTTTTGCTACTGTTACTGAAGATCAAATGAGCATTTTAGGGATCATTTTATTGACTCTGCATTTGGTGCTAGAAGATGCTATATACATCATGTTTCTGATGCAGGATCATGAATGATTGATTTGACCAGCGTTGCAAGAAGATGCAATATAATGTTTATGATGCAGTATTGGAATTTTTTGTGCTCATTCTTAAAAATAATCAGCAAATTAGGACATGCTTTTTCATATTTTCCAACATTTTGGATATAGCTTTCCAATCCAACACATGATGGAGAGGAAGGAAAATGAGTAGCAAGGATTGGACCCATAAAAATATTCCATACCTTCGATCAAAATTGGCTTTCTATGTTCCTTGCCATTCTTTTAAAATAGTTTTTAATAATTCCTCCCTATATTTTGCACTTCGTATTCTGAAGAATGTTTGATTGACAAAAACCTAAACCACCTCAGATTAGCTAAGTGGCAGACCTCAGCTATGCAAAAATAAGGAGTCACGAGTCAGTCAGTCAGTAGGATGTAGTCATTTGGTATATGCCTGTCTTCATGGGGGTAACTGCCATTCAATTATCGATTACACAACAAAATCAAGGCATGCTCCTAAGAAAATTTCATTGAAAAACTTAATGAACCCACAAAGACTGCCCGTTTCTCATATAGCTGACCTGACCTGACCTGACCTGATGCAGAGAAAAATGCTATATTTACCAAATTTTGTTAGTGAAACTAAAGATATTACCATGACGTCAATTAGTATCAAGGTTAGCTAGTTTTTTAATACCCAGAACCAAGAAAGGATTGGTTATGAAACGGAAGTAGAGAGCATTTTGCCTGTAAAACGTCGACATCAACCAGCCGTTGTACGAGTAGAGTCGCACAGGCACAGAGGAGACGGTTGACCTGTTGTTTCATCAAGAAAGTGAGTGCCCCACTTGTTGTTTTCCCATAATCGCAGCCAGAAAGCCACCTTCATAATATGGATGGATAAATATGGACAAAATGGCAGACAAACAACTCAATCATTCAGAGCAGCCACTATTATTTTGCCGAAACCACCAGCTCCGGCTGTCTCGTCTCTCACTTTGGAGAACAAATGACAGAGGTTGTCCAAGCTCTCCCATCAGCACATCCATTATTGAGATATGTCCATCTCAACTTGACCTCTCATAGCACGTGAAGCCACAAACTTCTCCAAAATACTAATTTGGAGGATCCTAAGATTAGACTGGGCTGTCCCAGATGCAGATGTCTTGAAAATACATCTCAACCTCAGCTGTTCGTTGATCACTGGCCGCTATTACATCACGCCTATCCAACTGCTGCCACCTGTCATAACGGGCAATCCATCTAGACCCCATTGGAAACTCTGATTTCTCAAACTTTATATACAGTAAACTATTATTCAAGGAATTAACTTGCAGTTTTGATTCCAGCCCAAGCAACAATGGATTGCAGCATTAGATGCAGTAAGATACCTGACCCAAGAAGAGTCATCTCTAATTTCCAAGGACCTCCTCTCCAGTCTCATTTCAAAGAAGTACTGGTAATCCATAATTGTGGAATGATTTAATTCGTCCATCCCAGCCCGCTGTAACGATGACCAGACCCCATGCATGAGAATTGGATGAGCTCTGGCAAGAAGTTTTCAAAAACTTGTACTCAGATTTACACACTGTAGATAACACAGGTTGTTGGCTTGACGAGGGAAGCTTTTCCTCAGGCCAAGTTGCAGATCCTTTGGTCATTGGCTCAAGAAGGAACTCTTGGCCCAAAGTGAAACAAGGGGAAGACGACAAAGGTAACATTTTGGGTAAATTGTCGTCTAAGGCACGCAATTGCAATCCATTGTCCAACTTGCGTGATTTTAAGCCAGGCCAAGGTATTGCAACTGAGGCATCGGTCGTGAAGCACTCAAATGACTTGATGGTTTTTTGTTGAGACAGAGAAGATTCTTCCTGACTAATGCAGTTCCATACGTAGACATTAGAATCCTTGCATGCTGAGACTACGTGCTTCCCATCTGAGGTGAAAAATGCAGAGATCTGGTTTCCTGCATTTCTTGGGCCTAGAGGGAGAGGGGGGAGAGACAGAGAGAATAAAGCTTAATGCAAATAATAAATAAAAAAGAATCACAAAATTCACTAGACAACTTTGCAAGTGACATGAAAAAAAAAAACCCTTATGCAGTGATCAGTTAAATTTTCAGATGCCCGATAATTGCCCACTTGCTTCACTACAAACATTCCTTAATAAAAAAGCCAGATGTTGAAAATGGACTGAACACGTACCCCTGTATTTGCCAATTACATTGACCCCGTAAAGAATTCTGACTTGTGAATCAGCGGAAGTGACCATTACTTTACTCGAGTCTTGTGGGAAGAACTGCAGCATAATAGCATGAATTAGAAATAACTGCATAAACACAGACAGAAGCAACAGGCCAAAGGCATGCAGGTGTGAGATGACTACCTCAAAGCCAATTATCCTTTTGCCCTGGGACTTCCTTTTACTGTTTAAGCACGCCAGAGCTTCCAGTTGGAAGTGATTATCTGATCCAAGAAAAATGGAAACAGATGGGTCAATCTCTACTGTACTCCAATCCCTCTGACTTGTAGTCAAATAATGTTGTAAATATAAATCACTAGCCCACGCTGGTCATAGCAAATGAATCATTCAATTATTTCGAAAGCCTAGAATTGACAGAAGTTAAGTTTATACAAGTTTCATCATGAAATTTAATGCTGCTATGTCCCCTTCTTGCTGCATCTACGCATTATAGTCACTAGTTCGTTTTACATCTCTCTTCTACTGTGTCAAACAATTTTCATGGATGTTTGCCACCCTGCTAACTAAAAACATTTTGACTTCAACCTGACATGAGAGATTAATATGTTGGAAGTTCAAATGAAATAACTACCATGCCACAAATAATTCATGGGTTTGACAGAGTAGTGTGCCATAAACCTACCTTTTTGACTCACATAGACAAACTTCGACAAAGTACACCACTATCTCCTTTAAACATATGTACACAATCAATAGCACTCAAGATGGACTAACCATTGACACATGGGAAATGTGCATATTCCTAATCATTTCAAAAGGCAAATCGCAAAAGGGATGCTAAAATATGTAAATAACTTTTGCAGAAAATGAAATAGTAATATACCATCTTAGTCGGATTTGTAACACCAAAACATCAACCACCAGCCATTCATGAGTGAGCAATAACAAACAAAACTTTCTCAGATATTTCTATGTCCTCAGAAGTAAAAAATCAAAAGCCATATAATTCAACAAGGGGAGTTGGGGTTACCTGTTAAATTGAAAAGGCGGCAATTGCCTGTCAATGTTCCAATAATTCCACCCTATTGGACAAGCAAACGGATTATTCAATTACCATCTTCTGAATTTCTGAAGCTACATCCTTGTTTTAATAGAAAAAAAGGGCCAGAAAGTGACCAAACCTGGCCATCAGGACGATAACCAATGGCGGTGACTATATCTCTTATAGCAGTCCAATCAACAACTTGACAACGGTCAATTGCCCAAATGCGAACTTTTCCATCTATGGAACCGCTGATGAAGTGATTTTCATCCACAGGGTCAAACTGAACACAGGTCACTGCATTGCATCAAATCATTTAATAAAATTTTGCAAATTTTGATTTAAAATAGCAGATCATATTTAGATAATGCACAAATTTGCCAATTAACCCTGGTTGATACCTCAGTACTCAAATCTATTTTAGAAATAAAAATGCCAACAGCCGGGGCGCACCATAATTACTGTGAGAAAAGACTCTAAGGCAGTGTTCACATCCTACTCGCCACAACCGAACAGTTTTATCAGTGGAAGATGAAATCAGATACTGCAGAAAGAACAAAAGAAAGAGGGAAAACCTTATAAATTTTGGACACATTCCAGGAAAAGCTCGACACTTAACAAATTATGAACTTACATTATTCGTCGACCAAGAGAGATCCAAGATCTCTGCACCATGTCCGTGGAACTCATGGATTGGTTTCTCCAACAGTCGGAAGACTTTAGGAGGAAAGATGACACAGGCTGAGTCTGCTGTTTTTCTTAGGTTCTTCAATTTGCTTATTTTCTCTTTCTCTGGCACGAGGGGTGCCAATTCAGAAAGAGTATTCACCGTGAAGTATACACACGATGGGTCTATATCAAGAATGTCAGTTTCATTTGATCTCTCATCTTCAACAACTTGCCATACACGCACAATTCTGTCTTCACCAGCACTGGCAAGGAACTGCCCATCAAAGCTAAATTTCATAGCAATAATTGAGCCCTCATGGGCCTGAATATCTTGACCTAGAAAGAGAGCTGAGAGTTCTTTCGACTGCTTCTTGCTATGGTGAACCCTAACTCTCTGCACTCCATGCCCTTGGTTTTGGTCAGAGCCATAATCAGATTTCCCATGTTCGTCCACAATGCACGCCATGGAAAGTAATCTACTCAGCCACCCGCTCTTCGAACGGTTCATTGTCCTTGACAAATTGCTATCAACCCCAATTTCTCTCTGAACAGCATGCTGAACTGAGCAAGATGACCCAGAAGAGTTCTCAAGCCCTTCAGCTGTCACCAACTGATTCACACCCACTACTTGAGCTTTACCAAGCTTACCAGCCTGCCCCAATTCACCTAGATTACACTCCATCGCACCATTAGAATCCCCACTTCTGCAAATAAAACCCTCATTTGAGCCCGATCCTCTTGACAAATCCAAAACATCACTGGACCAACTGGACACAGAAGATTGATTACAGGAAAATTCATTTCTAAAAATTGAGGTTCTTAACACAGCCCCACTACTCTCTATAATTCTCTCCGTTTCTCCTTTAAATACATCGCCATTTACATATACCGAATTGTCTGCGGTAGTCATATCTAAGTCCAATCCAAACCATTGGAAGAATTTACTACGGCGTTCTTGAATACTTCTAGGACTCCTAATCCACACATCACAGTCAAAACTACTGTAGACACAATAATCAACTAAGCAGCTAGACTCGGGACACCGCATACAATCGGAATCCAAATCGGCGCAGGCATCGAAGAACCGATATTCTTCATCGTCGTCACTGAAGCTACCCATGATTCCTCGAGTTCAACCCATGAAACCCACCTTAATAAACCAATGTTTTGAACAAAAATGTGCTAAACACCCTCCAATATGAAACCTGAAACATTAGATAAAAAAAAGTTACAAAAATGCAGATACCAAGATCAGTAAAACAACAAATATTATTAAATTTCAGCACGGCAAAAATAATAGTAGTACTAATATCAAGGAAAAAAAATAGATCCAACAAAGATCCCAAATCCTGATAAAAAAAACCTGGTCTTGAGTACAGCATAAATTCATAAACAACTCAACATATTTTTATACCAATACAATATAATGTGCATAGAAAATGGAGCCCTAGTTTTTCTCACAAATTAGGAAGTACCCAACTCTGTCAATGGATCTCCATTAACTGGATGACAAATGTCAGGACTCGGAGATCAAATTGATTGCGTTATTAGCGATGAAAATATCTGGAAGGAATGAAACACTCATATATATTTTACAGAAAACATTCAACAAAAATAGAGTTTTTCATTGTATAGAGTGATAACATATCCAGAAGGATGTCAGTGACGATGTACTGACTTGGTTTTATATGATTCCACAAGATTTAGAGGATTCGGAAGAAGAAATAGATCGATGGGTCCATGGCAATACAAACACTTACTCCTTAGCTCTTTATTTATCTAGAGGGAGCAAAGGAGACGACACAACCACCATTATAATTAAAATAAAAAACCAAAAAAAATTTAGAAGTCAGGTACAAAAAATTCTATTTAATTGAGTTAAATTATATTAAAGATACTTATTTAGCCTTAATTACAATTTTTAGAAAAAAAATTAAAAAATTATTTATTACTCAACTACTGTCTCTATTTTTTTTTTCCTATTTTCTCTCCCTATCTCTTTCCCTTATACTCTCTCTATTGATTCCCTTTTCTCTCTATCTCTCGACATTGTAATTTATTTTCTTTTTAAATATGTAAAAATTTAGTTTATTTTTTTCATCTCTCTCCTCCTATCTTCTTTCTCTCACCATTACTCTCTCTTTATTCTCTATTTCCCTATTTTTTTCATCATTACTCTCTTTTCTTATTCTCTCTCTTTTTATTAACGTTACAATTGCTCTATAATACATAAAACAATTATTTATGTGTTTTGATAAACCAAATAATTGAACAAAATTATAACACCAACCCAATTTATCATTCGATTATTTACATAAACCAAATAATTACACAATTTAGTATTACGACATGATTACACTAATTATATACACCAAATTAGACTTATCATTACACAAAAAAGTTTATCATTATACCAAATTTTGTGTATATAATTTCTGTAATCATGTTATGATACTAAATGGTACGACCTAATAACCGCCAAAAGTTGAGTTACCAGAGGAACTCCGATGATCAACCCTCCAATAATAAAGTTAAAAAATAATGGTGGAAGGAAACTGTATTTAGTTAGGAGTAGTCAACGCAGTTTGGCCTTTTTATTGGTCAACAGATTGGACTATCAGATAACCTTAGCTACCATTTGATTGGGGCAACACCAAAAGTGGAACAAATGAGGACACTTAATTAGCGTGAATATCTCAACAGATTTGAATATTAGTCAAGAGGAATGGAGCTAGGGTGAGGCCGAGCAAGGAGCTGAGGTCCTTTTTGGACCATGGAGCTCGTCCTTTAAACAGTTGAGCTCATATGCTGAGATCGTGCTTAATTTATTATTATAAAAACTCATTTATATATACGATAAGAGAGAAAACAAAAGAATAATTCGTTTTTGTTCTTAAGGTATTGTCATATCATTTTAATATTTTTGTCTGGTTACAGCTAGCAGAACTCATCAAAGTGTTCAATTAGTCACATTAAACCACTAACTTTTTATATTACCGCTTAGGATTCCAAATCAAGAACCCTAAACTAAAAGACATATGGTTGGGTTGTGTAGCAGTAGTACTTAAAAAGTTAGTTGCGTTGAAAAATGGAAATATATATATATAGTTAGGTGCAAATAATTAAATAATTAGGTCTACTTCTATATGTCTTCTCCTATGTAATGTTGTCTACTCCAAAGCATGACATACTCCCCCAAGTCAAAAAGTTATTATATACTTTGTTTCCATTTAATCTAACACCATACTTTAATGGTTTGATTATAAACCTCCCCAAACTATTTGTTTAGTCGGCCTATTCGTTTGATTAACGACAGCATTATTGTTATTCCAAGTGTTTCGTACCGACAATGCCCCAACATTAGAAAAGGGTAACTTGAAAAATATTGTCGTTTACTTGTTAATAACTGTTAAAGTAACTTTATTTATTAATCTAACCGAATTATTATTATTATTATTATTATTTTATTTTGTAACACTGTCAATTACGGACAGTACATATCATTAAATATTTGAATTAGATTTGAATTCAAATTTTAATTTGACTAATAAAACACTTAATTTGAACCTAATCTATTGACAGACACCTAACTGTTACATATAGCATGGGCGGATAACATTTTTCCACGCTATGCTTTTTTGTGAGAAAAAGGATTGGACAGACAAACACCAACGGCATAGACATGTCTGCTCATTCATGAACTTCGTAAAGTTTTGAGCTAGCTAGGTTCAGCAACACTTTTGACTAGAGGTAAGCATAACCGACACAAGGTGGTCTTACCCAATATATATTTTTGGTCACAGATCATTCTAGTCTTATAAATAACATTAAACCCAACACCCATTTTGTTTCAACAATATTTACTGTGTTAGCATGCCATGGGAATAATTTTGTTAGAACAAACAATACCTGTGTTATTTTGTTTCGGATGACCGATGTAATCCAATAATAACAACAACGAATGTATATATATATATATATATGTGATATGCACTGCATGTAGTATATTATTATTGGGTTACAATTAATGCCATTGTTATATTTGGTGATGTATAGTGCAATTCACGAGTTGTCTTTTGATAGGACAACATGTCATGTCATTTTGTAGCATGGAAGTGAGCTGTAAAAACCAAAGAGACCTTACTTACTTGGAAGATAGCGTTAGGTATTCTTGTTAGCCCTTGTATCTTAAGCAACAAATCATTCTCTGGATCGAGAAGCTCATGTCAACAGTACACTCTACATTCTATACTTAATAGTAGTGTCTACAAAGTGCTTTCTTTTCCTTGAAACAGCACTGTGCGTGCAAGATCCTGCACAATATAAAAAACGAGAACAGATTTCTCTCTTGGTGAACTCGAGTGAGCCAGTTGAGTGACCAACCACGCTGCTTGGAACAGCCTGTGAGGTCTGGTGATAACCTGGAACGGCAACGGGAGACCCTGGGGGAGCGGAAGAACGATCCAGTGAGGCTGAAAGAGGTTCCTGAAACAAAGAATAACAAGTTAGAAGGGCGCCAGAGTGTTTTCCGGCGTATCCCCTCCGACGATCTAGTCAGTCTTTGAGAAAGAGAGAGGAAGGAGAAAACACTGAGTGTGTATTGTAGTAAAGAGTTTTTTGTTGCATACCCGTCTTGCCTTTTGCAAGGAGTATTTATACCTCAAAAGCTCATGATTGCTGTCAGTGTAGTCAGTAGGTGATCATTAGGTACATGCAGTGTGCGCACTGATTCTGATGAGGAATGTCTTCTCTTCTTAACTGCTCGGGGCCCCGAGCAATCAATGCTGTGTCATCGGGATGCCGACGGTACAATGTACTTCTCTCGGGGAGGATGCCCATTGGCTGTGGCCCTGCATTCCTGTACGTTCTGACATTAATTGTATAAGACGAGGTCATGATGAATAGCCTAGACTAGCCTAGGCTAATGACCTGTACGTCAATAGCTTATCCTGGAGTAGAGGAAGCATCCAGGACGGGGTACCTCTCGGCACCGAGGAAAGGCTCATCTCGGAACCGAGGAAGGTATACCGACTGAGGTACCATATCAGACCGAGGCTACGTGTTGGTTGTAACTCGTATTGAATGCCATGATCCTATATGACGAGTACCTCGGGGGCGAGGACCTTTATGCGCCGATGGTGCTTGATCTTAGCAACAGTGTTTTGGTAAATACCGAGGACACGTGTCTTCATTATGGAGTATTTCAGAAAAATCTCATCAACTGCCCCCAGCCTTCGATCTTCTGACACCGAGGGCACGCGTCGTAAGGAGACGAAGGGTTTTTCAACAACCACAAATGCTTCATCATTGCCTCGAGCCGCTTTCCCCGACTTAGGATGTTGTGTGCATTAAATGCGCTGTTTCGTTTTTCGCGCCCAATGATGAAACAGCCACTATATAAATGGGGTTCCTCTTGCATTTTCTTGTTTCGCCATTCCGAACTTCCTCAAGAGAGCATTTTCCTGAATCTTCGTCGGAGATCTTTTTCCTCTTCCATCGTCAACTACCCATTCTTCCTTAAAGTCCTAAGGCCAGCAGACCCATCGTTGCTTCTGAACTTTCTGGAAGGAGTCGCCTAAAGTTTTCCAGAAAAAACTCTGTTTGGCATTCGGGTGAGTCCTAGTTTCTTTCTTCTTTTCTTCCTCCTATCCCTTTTTGTTTTCCGATGACTGGAGGTGTCTCCGGTTGATACTTAGCGACTAATCCTCAGGAAGCTTCCTCAGGGATTTTTAAGAAAAAACACCCTCCACTTTCTCACTTTCTTAGAGATGCCTCGTCGTCGTCCTGCTCCCGAGAATCCTCAGGCTGGTTCTTCGGGGTCGGGGAAATATAAAGTAAAGGGTGGTGAGCAGATTAATAGGTTTAAGGTCAAGTACGACATTCCCCCGTGCGTAGACATAGAGGATTATGACTCGGTGGTGCACTTTCCTACCCTCGGGGCTGAGGATGCTATGCCCTTTTATACCAAGGCCATAATAGAGGGCGAAATTAGGTTTCTTTTACCCCCTTTACTTCTACAGTTCCTCTCTCACTTCCGCCTCTTCCCCGGGCAGTGTTGCCTTAATGTCTTCAGAATAATTATGGGGGTCTTAGAGCTCAATAGGCACCTCGGGGTAAATATTGGGCTGAACGATCTCCTTTTTTGTTATTCCCTCTTGAGAGTCATGCCTCACCAACACTTCTACCTCAAAGCCAGGGACCCCTTCATGTACC